AAGTAGATATGGTCTTATGGGAGGAAGTGTCTCACTGTGTGGGAGAACTTTGAGGTCTCTATAGTTCAAGCTTTCACTCAGTTCACTTCCTATTGTCTTCAGATCAAGATGTAGCCAGCACCATGTCTGCCTGCATGCCACCTTGTTGTACAGTGATGATAATGAACTAAACCTCTGAAAATGCAAGCCAACCCAATTAAATGTTTTTTCTTTGTGAGAGTGGTCATGGTCATGGTGTCTATTCACAGCAGTAGAAAACCTATCTAAGACAGAAGTTGGCACCAGGAGTAGGGCATTGCTGTGAGAGCTGGAGAATGCTTTTGTTTGAAGAAATATGAACAATGGGACTGTGGATTAGACAAGTTGTTTAATTCTTTAAGTGCTGCTTAATAGGCTTTACTAATAACATGGAAGACAGTAGTGCTAAGACTGACTTGTATTGGAGGGGACTGGTTCAAGAGGTTTCAGAGGAGAAGAATTTTAGTACATTGCCTAGAGACCATTCTTGTGACATTTTGGTGAAGAATGTGGATGCTTTTGGCCTTTGTCAGGAGAGTCTGACTGAGGGTAATGTAGATGTAACAGTCTTATTAAATAAGAAACACAAAGACAAATGCAGAGTTAAAAGCCCAAGAGGTCAGAGCAGTAGCTAAGAGCTGAGACTTAAAACCACCTTCTTACCCTTCCTGCCGCCACTGCTGTCCTTCCCCTCAGAAAGAGGCCTACTTCCTGTGTGTCTGTCTTTTTACTGACTTTCTGTTCTGCCTTCTTATTGGTTGTAAATCCAACCACAAGACCTCCTCGTCACTGCCCGTCTATACAGACCTCCAGGTCTTCTATGGTTGGTATTGAGATTAAAGGTATGTGCCTCCATGCTGGCTGTATCCTTGAACACACAGAGATCTGCCTGTCATGTGATCGGGATTAAAGGTGTGCACCACAACCACCTGGCTTCTGCTATGGCTTGCTATTAGCTCTGACCCCCAGGCAACTTTATTTATTAATACAAATAAAATCACATTTCAGTACAAATAAAATATCACCATAGGGTAACGTGAAGAATTTTGGATTAATTCCCTTGGCAGAGGATCTCAAAACAGCCTAGTATAGATTCTGTCCTGTGGTTATTAGTGTTAACTTTATTGAAGATTTATAATGAAAAGGAGCAAGTTGAGCAAGAAAAAAACCAAAATGTAATATTTGAGGAGAAAAGAAACACAGGGAAGTGGGAGGAATTACCACACCAGATTTCCGGATATCTTATTCTTTTTCCATATCTAGATGAATTTGCAAATAAAAGTATCAGATTTTCTCATTGTACTGTGTCAGTAACTTGGCTCAGTGGGTGGGGATTGGGAATACAACTGCAGGGAACTACTCATGCTACTCTCCGTTTTACAGACTAGGCAATAAAACAGAGTCAGCATTGAGTTTGGAGATTCGTGTCATAGTCACCTTTCTGGCATCATGATGGTCTGAGAAAACACAGGAAGAAGGTGTAATTTAGATATTGGCCTACTGTTTCAAAGGTTTTGGTCTGTGATTAGTTGAACCTCCTGTTTTGGGGCCTGTACTGGTGTAGAACATCATGGCAGGGAGAATATGTCAGAGCTGAGCTGCCTATTTCATGAAAGCCAAGATGAAAGACAGAAGAGAAGAGGGAGAGAGAGAGAGAGAGAGAGAGAGAGAGAGAGAGAGAGAGAGAGAGAGAGCATGCCTCTAGTGACCTACATCCTCCTATGAGACCCTGCTTTCAGAAGTTGTCTCCATCACTCAATGTTCTTTCTAATATAAACCAGTCCATGTATTAGCGAAACCTTCATGATCTAATATTTCTCAAAGTTCTTTCTTTGAACACAGTATAGAAAACTGAGTCTTTAATATGTGAATCTTTGGAGGAGGAATTCTTCTAATCTAAACCAATTAAGCACTATTTTGCTTTGTAATATAGCCAACATTGCTTAATATAATTGTTATCCATAATAGAAAAAGAATATTTTGTTAATAAAAATTTTCTAATAAATACCACAATACTCCACTTATGTTTCTAAGTCACAGGAGAGTAAATAGTAATTCACACAAAACATTAACTTTTTTCACGTTTACTCAGAAACAAAGCATCAGCAGCTAAAGTGATGAGTCGAATTCAAACTTACCAGATAAAAACATTTTCTAGAGAATTACAATACAGAATGTGCACAGAGCTGTGGACTACAGGACCTGTGTTATACTACAAAAGAAAATTACAGCCACATCAGAACACACTCCGTGGGATGCTTTCTAACCAACACAATTTATGTTAGTTACTAATGTATCTGAATTATTGGGTTCTTTCCCTTTCAGTACCTCCGTGGAGGATTCAGCTATTAATATTTATGTTAATTGAGTTTTGTCATTTTGAAGATATGCACTGACTTTTACTTTTTAAGGACAAAATACACAGTAACACAAAATTTCCCTTTGAGTGCTGTACAGGAGTGGATCATTCTCTGCTCTCTGCATCGCGTCTATGAAATAAATTTAAAAACGAACAGGGGAAAGCTCTGCAAGCTCATTGCATTTCTAGGGACAGGAGTGGAAAATGGACATCCATACACCCACCGGTATCTAGAAACTTCTATTCCCTCTTTCCAGGGTGATGCAGGCAAGTTGGGGAAGAATAAATTGTTTGGGTAAAGTTGGAAATGTCATTTTGAGATGGATGATAGACTCTGAGAAGTCTGTCTGGGCATCATATGGGCCTCCAGTGTCTTCTCCTGTAATAACTTAATCCTCTCTGGTTGATGGGACCCCTAGGGAGAGGTTCATATGTTTCATTTGGAGAATCTGTATATTGTCTACCAGGAGAAGCTGAGAGAAAGATATTGTTTTCCCCAAGCACCTTTAGGTCAGAAGAATCAGAAACCAAAGTAGCATACTGGACAGATATTTTTTTAACTCCATCTCTGTTTTTACATCTGTAACTGTCTTGGTTACGATTTCAATTTCTGTGAAGAAATTCCACAACTATGGGAATTCTTATGAAGGAGCGGCTTACATTTTTAGAGGTTTAGTTCATTATTGTCACAGTGCTACATAGTGACATGCAGTCAGACATGGCGCTGGCTACATCTTGATCCCAAGGCAACAGGAAGTGAACTGACTGCCACACTGAGCAAAGCCTCAAAGCCCACCCTCACTGTGATACACTTCCTCCAACAAGGCTACACCTACTCCAATAAAAGCCACACTTCTTAATAATGCCAGTTCCTGTGAGTCCATAGCATGGCGGGGGGTGGGGAGGGAGTCAATTACATTCAAGCTACCACAATAACTCTCTGGTATTTTACATGTTTACTGTGTTGTACTACCATTACCACTCATATATCCCAATGTGTTCTTCTCTATAAGCCCTTTAAGCACTAACGATTCTTCCTTTAAACCCATGATTTTGCCTATTTTTTGGAAGTCTAAATGTTGAATTATAATTTCTTTCTATTTGTGTTTCATTTCTTTTAATTCAAAAAACATTTGATACTTTTTCAATGTGTATATGAACTGGACTTATTTAAATACTTCATTGTATTAAAATTGTATGTTTTTCTACCTATTTATCATTTTACAGATTTTTAAGTTTTGTCCATCTCTAGGCTTTATATCTATCTTTGCCAAAGCCTACAAAGAGCAATAACAATCTACTAGGAATATCCATGTTTTTTATTTCTCAGTGACTTAAGCACATTGCAAAATAAAGCTATGAATGTACTTAGAAGAAAAACCACAGTATCTAACACCATCAAACATAAGATATACGTTTGGCATCTAATAAAAGATTACAGCTTTGCAAAGAAGGAAGAAAACAGGATTCATCACTAGGGGAAAAATCAATCTGACTGTAAGTTACAGTAGATTGGATGCTCCAGAAGAAGGATTAGTGAATTTGAAGATGATATTCATAATGAAACACAGAGAAAATGAGAACAAGGTGAGCTGAGCATAACATCAAATGGTCAAATATGCAAGCAGGGATTCCACATAAAAAATTTAATATTTAAACTTCTTCAATGGCTAGCTAGCTGTCTCCAACAATGATTGCAACACTCAACCCTTTTCAGCCTTCACTTCCTTAGACTAGTTTATTTTCCAGCTGCTCAGAGGCTTCTGCACTGATGGCATCTGCAGTCAGACCTTCTAGGTATTTCCTTTGACCAAAGACTGTTTTCACCAAGACCAGCCACTTCCAAGGGCGGCTACCATCTAATGACTGGTCTGAAAAGAGATTTTATTCTCTTGTGGCTTTTTTGTTTTTTGGGTTTTTTGTTTATTTGTTTGTTTTTGAAAATGGAGTTCCCTTCTGTGCTTCTCTCTCTAGCACAGGCAATATTTGAGATTTTGGATGGTAAATGGGTATTGGCAACAGTTCTCTGAGGTTTTCTGGCCTACTCCTGATGCCTGATTTTGAGAGTTTCTAGCCATAGCCACTGGAGGTATGGTCCAGTGACTGCACACCTTGTCACTAGAGGGCACTGCAGATCCACCGACTGAACTGTGGGCAGTGGTCTGGAAGGCAGATGCAGAGCTGCAATGTGGAGCCCACTGTAGGCTATAGGCTGAGAAACCAGAAACACTGCTGGCTCAGAAGACACAGCGAGGGGGACAGGTGCTAAATCAACTTTACACATAAACTGGGCATCCCCAAAGGGAGCCATGGACTGTAGGCTTGGCAATCCCAAACCTCCTGGAGTTAGAAGAGAAGGAAGCACCTGCCTCAGAGGAGAGCATGGAAAGGATTTCCCCAAAGCCAGCCATATTTATTCAGCACAGCCATCTCCCCTTCCATTAAGCAGGCTGAGCATAAAGGGGGAAGGGCTGAGACAGCAGACTATGCCCAAGGCACAGACAGCCTGTGGGAGCCAGCAAGATCACTGACCTCAGAACCTGACATCACAGGCAATGAGATGAGATGAAAGGAAGAGCTGCCTCCTGCTCTCACCAAGGAGACCAGCATCCTGAGTAGAAGGATGTGTGACACTGCCCTCCCTGACTCTGCCTGGGGCCCCACCCTGCTCTGCTGTGTGACTGTCTTTCTCCTGGGAACAAGTAAGTCCTGAGCTCTGGTGGGACTGCTCCTCAGCTCCTTTACTGCTGATGCTGAATCCATCTACTCTTTCTCTGGATTCTCACTTCTGTCTCCTGCTTCCCCAGGTTCAGCAAATCCTGGGGTCATCCAGTTTCCAAGACACATAATCAAAGCAAAGGGAGGAAGGTCCATTCTGAAATGTATTCCCATCTCTGGACATGACACTGTGAGCTGGTACCAACAGACTCTGGGGCAGGAACTGAGGTTCCTCATTCAACATTATGATAAAATGGAGAGAGAGAAAGGAAACATGCCCAACCGATTCTCAGTCCAGCAGTTCAGTGACTATCGCTCTGAGATGAACATGAGCGCCTTGCAGCTGGAGGACTCTGCTGTGTACTTCTGTGCCAGCTCACCACAGCCTTACAGAGTGACAGGCTTTCTGTCCCTTAGTCTTCCTGTCCCCGCTGGAGATGAAATCATGAGATTCCACACAACCTTATCCAAGGCCCAGAAATACTTCTAGATCTTTACTAATCCCCTCACTGCCTAGCTGAGCTCATACCAGTCCTCCCAAACACTGGGATGGGCCCTAAGATTTTCTCACATTTCAGCCAGTAGGAACCCTACTCTTAGCTGCGTGCTTTGATTTTGGCATAAGCTACATGTTTCATTATAAAGGTGTACATTAGTGATCCATTTGTGGATGAAAATTTCTACATGCCACCTTGTAGACAGGAATTGATAGCTTACGAAATTATTCAACAGTTCATGTGTAATAATATCAACACTAGGATTGAAACCTACATCTCTTTGCCCTCAAAATCAAAGTATGACTTTTCATGGTATTATCTGCTTTGGTCAAAAAAATGTATCAGCTCACTGTCTCTTGTGTTATAAGACCAGCTGAGCTTAGTGTGTATATGTTGGGAGGCTGACCGTTTATAGATGTATAATATTAAACCAGATGCTTTTCTTCCTATAGTTTCAGTTGAGATTTTTATTATCAACAAAAGAAAATTTGTTTCTGAATAATCAAGCAATCAAGTTAAAAAGAATTTAAAGAGATAATTATGGCAGATGCTTCTCACTTCAACGAACTTAGAGTATTGTATAAATATAGGTATTGTAGGGAAGACTAACAGTACTGATAGATTATACCTTATTTTGGAAATAAGCCTAAGAGCTATGAAATTTTATGTTCCCTACTCTAAACATCTCTCTTAAATATAAAATGACTCTTTCTTAGACTGACACAACCATGAGCATTTGTCTTTTTTGTTGTTAGCTGCTGGTCCTTGGGGACCAGCCAGTCTTAGGGCATAGGTGAGAATGTAGCTTTTGGGATTCCTATGGGTGCTGTGCTGATCCCCTTTGTCTCTGCTTCTGCTTTGAGTCCTTTCTCACCAGGATAGGATTATAGAAATTATTCATTAAGATCTCACCAAGATGTGTGGCCACAGAAAGGAGGTTTCAGACTTTGTTGCAGACAGTGACATCACTAATCACTGAAAGACCCAGCTCTAGTTTCCACAAACAGGCTGGAAGACATCAGATCTTGCCTTGGTCCTGAGATGGATTTCAGGTTCTTCTGTGTGGCCTTGAGTCTCCTGTGTGCAAGTGAGTCCTGGACAGGCTGCAGGTGTGCTTCTCTCAACAGAATTCCCAAGTCTTTTAGCTAGGATGACATCATCATGCTCTGTCTTCCTCTATTCCAGAACACATGGAGGCTGCAGTCACCCAAGACCCAAAAAGCAAGGTGACAGTCACAGGAGGAAAAGTGACATTAAACTGTCAACAGAATAACAATCATGACAACATGTACTGGTATCGGTTAGACAGGGGTCATGGACTGAGGCTGATCCATTACTCATATGGTGTTGACAACATTGAGAAAGGAGATGTCCCTGATGGGTACAAAGTCACCAGACCAAGTCGAGAGTACTTCTCCCTCATTCTGGAGATGGCTTCCCCCTCTCAGACAGCTGTGTATTTCTGTGCCAGCAGTGTTGCACAGCCATGCATGGCTTCCTCCCCTCTGCACATAAAGTAAATTAGGAAGACAAGAAGCCTGTTTGTCCCAGGAAGTCCCTGGCTCTGTAAGCATGGTCTCTTTCCAGGCTGTGTTTACTCTGTATGTCAGTAGCCCCTTTGTTAATAGGATAATAGCCCAGAAGGTCCTATTTCTTTTTCTTCACTCATCTTTTCCCCAGCCTTCCCAAGTTCTTTACTCTGCAAGTAAACTTGTCTGTATTCCTTTACCTTCTCATATGTTTTGTGCTGTTTTCAACTATGGAGATTTTTTTTTAAGGACATTTCTTCTGTACTGAAGACACGCCTTTCACTCTTGCTTCTGTATCTCTCCTTCCCATCAAAATGTATTTCAAGTTGGATTGTTTTTCTTTTATTTTTTCAGATTTTGATTTCATTACTTTGCTTCTTTCCTTTCTCCTCTTTCTATTATTCACACTTGCCCTGCTTTAAAATTCATGCTCTCTTATTTTTGTAATTATTAATTTAAAGGGTTTTTGTGTGAGGTGTGAATAAATGCAACCTGTGGTGTCTGTTTAGTGCTCCCTGTCAGTATCTATCTATCTATCTATCTATCTATCTATCTATCTATCTATCTATCTATCTATCTCTATCTATCTATCTATCTCTATCTAATCTATCTATCTATCTAATCTATCTATCTGTATGTATGTGTATATATATATAAATATATATATATATTTATTTATTTATTTATTTATTTATTTATTTATATATATTTGGCTACTACTCATGCTTGGAAAGTGGAAAAGTAATTCCTTATCTTCCAGAAAAAGAAATGCTGGGGGGATTAGTGTTCCAGACATCAAGGTATACAACTCATTTTCCAGGTCTTGATGAGTTTACAAATAAAACCATCATATTCTCTTGTTGTAATGTGTCAGTAACTTGGCTCAGTGGCTGGTAACTGGGTACACGACTGCAGGAAGCTGCTCATGCCACACTGCTTTCTACAGACTGGGCAACAAAACTGAGTCAGCATTGAGTTTGGAGATTCCTGTCATAGTCACCTTTCTGGCACCAGGACAGGCCTGAGAAAATAGATGAAGAAGGTGCATTTTCCTCAGTATTTCAAAGTTTTGGTCTATGATTTGTTGGAGGGGCCTGTGGTGTGGCAGTACAGCCTGACAGGAAGAATATGGCAGGGCTGAGGTGCCCTTCTCATGAAGGCATGGCAGGAATGGGGAGGAGGAGAGGGAAAGAGGGACGGGGGGAGAGAGAGAGAGAGAGAGAGAGAGAGAGAGAGAGAGAGAGAGAGAGAGAGAGAGAGAGATCTTTTAATGCATGATGGCCCCTTCTTTCTGAAGTTGTCTCAGTGACTCAATGCCCTCTCTGTTATAAACTTAATCCACAGATTAGAAATGGGTGAAAGCTAATCCTCTATGATCTAATCTTCCTCAAAGTCCTTCCTCTGAACACTGGGTAGACCAGTAAGCTTTTAATACCTGAGTATTTGAGGAACAGTTAACATCTAATCCAAACAAGCACTATGTTTCTTTGTAATATAGCATATCTTGCCCATAAAATTCTTACTTCAAAATGATAAAGAATACTATTGTTAATAAAAGATAACCCAGGATATACAGAATGCTCCTCCTAATTGTCAAGGCAAAAACGGGTAAATAGAAATACCACAAATCATTAACTTCTTTCATTGTCCCTCATAAAAAACACATTCCCAGCTGAGGTGATGATCCTTGAATTCAAACTTACCAGATAGGAACATTTTCTAAAGAATTAGAAAACAGAATGTGCACAGAGCTGCAAACTATCAGGAACTGTGATAAACTACAGAAGAAAATGACAACAACATCGAAAAACATTTCATGGGATGCTCTCTAACAAACACCATTTTATTAGTCAGCAGTGCATCTGAATTACTTGGGGTCTTTTCCTTTAAGTACCTCCATGGAGGATTCAGCTATTAATATTTACTTTTATTCACCTTGTTATTTTGAAGATAGTCTTTCTTCTAATTTTTAATGTTTATGATCATAATGAAATACATGGTAATAATAAAGTTCACTTTGATGCTTATGAGGGAAGGTATATTTGTTTACTCTCAGCATTGTGTCTAGGAAAGAAAGTCACAGATTAACCAGCAAAATGCTATGCAGGCTAATTGCATGCCTCAGGATGTGAAATGATAGGATAATGAATATCTAAACACCTACTGGTATCTAGAAACTTCTATTCCTTCTTCACAGGCTGAGGTGTAGGGTGATGCAGAAAGTTTGAGGAAGAATAAAAGTTTGGCGGAATACTGAAAATATCCTTAAGAGATGGATGTTAGACTCTAAGATGTCTGTCTGGTTGTGGGCTTTCAGTATCTCCTCCTGTGATAACTTAATCCTCCCTGGTTGGTGGGACTTCTAGGGAGAGGCTCACCTGCTTCTTTTGGAGAAACTGTGTTTTGTCTACCATGAGAAGCTGAGAGAAAGATATTTTTCCCACACTTGTTTTACCCCAAGCACCTACAATTCAGCAGAAGCAGAAACCAAAGTAACACAATAGACTGTCATTTTCTGAACTCCATCTCTGTTTTAATATCTATAACCTCGTTTTATTTTATACATATTCATTGTGTTGTAGAACCAACCTCAATATGTATTTGCCAAGAAGTTTTCCTCTTTAAACCAATTAAGCAGTAACTATTCTTCCCTCAGGGCTCTGATCTTGCCTATTTTTGAAGTCTGTGCTCAGAATCACAGTTTTTTTTTCTCTTTGTGACTGGTTTATTTCACTTCACATAATATTTGTTATATTTTAGGTACGTATGAATTTGACTTATTTCAATACTTCATTGTATTAAAATTGTACACTTTTCTCCCTACCCATCACCTTTTGGATTTTAAGTTGTGTCTATCTCTAGGTTTTACATCCATCTTTGCCAAAGCCTACAAAGACCAACAATGATCGGCTAGGAATTTCCCTGATTTTTGTTTTTCAGTGACATAAGTACATTGCACAATAGAGATATTAATTTATTAATAAGGAAATCAGGGTATCTAACACTGTCAAGCATAAAATATACAGTTTGGCATTTGATAAAAGATTACAGCTTTGTGAAGAAGGAAAAACATAGGACTCATCACTAGGGGAAAAATCAATCACTAGAAAGCAACCCATTTGGGAGGAATTGGTTGGCAATGACATTAAACAGCATAACTGCAGCACGTACCTTAACAGGTTGATAGAAATGAGGGAGACATGCAAAGTTCCCAATCAAAATTTTAGAAGTAAAAATTTGTAGTGTCTGTGATGAGAAATAGCTGACGGTAAGTAGCAGTAGATTGGATGCTCCAGAAGAAGGATTAGTGAATTTGAAGTTCATATTCATAAGAAAACACATAGAAAATGAAAACAAGGTGTCAGTTTGCCGAGGATAACCTCAAATGGCCAAATATGCAAGTAGGGATTCCGATGAAAAATTTTAATATTTTAATTTCTTCAAAGACAAGCTGTCTTTAGTAATTACAACATTCTACCCTTCTTTGCCTTCTCTTCCTTAGACTGGTTTATTTTCCTAAGTGCTCCATAGGCTTCTCCACTGACAGCATCCACAGTCAGCCTGTCATAAAAATTCTCCTAGACTAAAGGTTTTGCCCAGGTCCTCTCCCTTCCAAAGGCATCTGGTGTCTAATGACTAGTGTATGCCTCCCTACAGCACTTTGATACAATTTAGAAATTACTGTTTTCTTCTTTTTAAT